AAATTCGCGACAATTAATCAGAGAAGCGCGGAATCGGGAAGCGCAGTACATTCGGAAGGAGAATTACGCTTATAGTTCAAACAATTTAGTTCGAGACTTTCGCTCGAGAGACTCTCGAGGGTAAGTGATGATGATAATGATGATGATAATGACGGCGATCGTTAGCATCGCGACGCCGCTAACGACGGCTCGCCGGCTCGCGGACGCCTCGAATCATTGATCGCGAGGAGAGGCGAGAATCGAGCGCGGGTACGGCTCGTTACGAGAGATCGCGTGGGACATCGCGCGATTACATTGCTAGTCACATGTGGATCGCTAGTCATTGAGTAATGCCCGTAGTCACTCTCGCCGCCGGTGCGGGTCCGTACGATATATGCGCAAGTCAAGTTACGGCATGCAAGACGACTATCGTAGGTAAAATTTTTTTCATTTCCATTTGAGACAGTCCTTTCATGTCGTCGTTTGTAAGATAAACAAGTTTACTAAGAAAAATTATGTAGATACTTAAATTAGAAATTTAAAAATGTTATTATACTTTGTTATATTAATATAATATGTAATAAGTATATTAATATGACATTTTTTACGCAATATGTTTTTCAACGAGCAGGTGCATTTAGTTTTCTAGCGTATCTCAATATGAAACTGGAAAAGCGCAATCATACCGCTTGACATTTTTCGCATGCGTTCTTGCTCCGCCTTCGGTTTGAAATTGAAAGGAATTAGTAGTACAGTTTAATTTGGCAAATTATATTGCCGTAGCGAGATCCGTGTAACACAGGACTCGCTCACGCATACGAAATAAAAGGTAAAGTATTTAACGAAACTTACCGTTTAATATGCATAATATATATATATATATATATATATATATATAATAAAAAAGCTTTAGATAAATATGAATGTATGTATTGTCGGATAAATTTTTCTACCTACGTTTCTACAGATATCTTTGAAGTTCCTGTTTAGCTCAAAAATTTCAGTTTCGATAAAAAGTTGAATCGATTAATGTCTATCAATTCACATATATAAAAAAACATGTAAACTATTTATTGTGACATACATACATACTTCGTGAAATGTTTTACATAAACTCACGATGGAAACATGCTCCGATGCAGGTAACCTCGAAAAGACGATCTCTCGAATTTCACTGTGACATCCACGAAATATTCCTCTTTCTTTTTTCCCGTTCGACACCCGCTGGAAAGGGATAGAGAAAGATGGGAATGAACCGTATTGTAAATGTACTTGCAAATTAAATTACTCGCTCAGTGAAATCGGATAAGATGTACCAGCGGGTGTCTCATCGACATGCCGAGTTAGGTGATTTAATTGTTATTTTACGCAAATAACATTGTAAAATAAATTAAGCTCTATAATTATGTCAAATTATAATAAGTTTCATCATACCTATCATACATTTAGTATAAAAATATCAAAATGCAATAATAAAAAAAAATTCAAATTTTTCTAGAAAGTTTTTTATAATATATTGTTAGTCAATAATAAAACTAATCAATAATTGTAATCCCAATAATTAAAATTAACTCAAATAATTAATATTTCTAAATAAAAAACAAATAAAAAATAAACAGATTTAAAGAAATTCCGAATTTCTCGTATAAGTTTTCGCTTTTTCCTTTTCTAATTATTTTTCTTTATTCAGATGCATAATATTTTCGAATGATGCAATGAAATATTGATCCTGAAAATTTATTGACGCTTATTAATGCACGAATTTTTATCGTTATTTTATTGAATCTCTCGATGAAAGTTGCTGAAAGGAAAAGGAAAGAGAATGGGTGACTTCTTTCTTATAATACTTTCACTGCAGATTACGATTGTCACAGCTCAATCTACTGTTCTTGTGACTTATTTTTAATTTTAACAATAGTTGTATATGATTATTGAGATTTTTTTTAAAGTGAAGACATTCTTGACTTTAGATGACTTTGGTACTTTGATATGAAAATGATGAAGGTATTTTGAAAACTAAAAGATAATAGTTATAAGTCATTATTGTTTTCGAATTATTGATAAGTTTAGAACAATATAATAGAAAATAAATATGTATTGAAGTAATAAAATAATTTTTATTAATTTATAACCTAATAATATTATTAGTTATTAAGTATTATTAATTAATTCTATTTAACTATTATTATTATTTATATTGATTTGCCATAATTATTTAGCTTTTATCCAATTTTTATCTATTTTTACTTTTATTGCGTACTTGTAAAATTGATGTGAAAAGTCATACTTTCGATTAAAACGAAAAATGTGCAAAGTGAACGCGAAAGTGCCCTAGATATAAATCCAACATGCATAGCGCATCAGAGTTCAAAGGTCCGGAACAGCGGTACAGGAAATCACGAGCGTACAGCTGTCTTGATTTTAAAATGCCGTTTCTATCTCGAATATTTCTACGCTTGCATTTTTCTATACGTTATTCGAAATTTGCGCTTTTATCGATACAACAGAACGCTATATGTGAAAAATCATCCAAATACAACAATAACGTGAGTGAATGGAGATTGGAGTTGCGAGTGAGTCATGCGCGCGTAATTCTCGACGTACTATATATAATCGGCAATCATCAAGCGTCAGCCGTCAATAATTCCCTAACTCTTAACCTTTAGCTTTTTATGCAGTTTTTTATTTTTCAATCTTCAACTTTCGAACTCTCGACTCTCAAGTCTTGACTCCAAATTTCCACCTCTCAACTACCTACTATTTATTGTCTAGTCCCAACTCCCGCCTCTTAACTAATCGAGCACTCGATTTCTACAGAGAAATCTCTCCTGGCAACCGGAGATTACACGTTTACGAGTACTTTTCGACTGGCTTCTTTTTTCCATAGGTCAAGGTCACGACGTGACACCGCATCTCCTCCGTAACACCTGTACTTGGACGAAGTACACACGTCCACGTATGTTACCGCGTCCTCGTTCAAGTGTAGTTTGCTGATTTTTAATTCAGCAGATTGAATCCTGCTCATCTGGCTAAAAATTTTGGGAGAGAAAAAGAGAGAAAGAGAAAGGAAAGAAAAAGGAAAGGAAAGAGAAGAGAGGGAAAGGAGAAACTTCACGAATTAATAAGTAATATAAAAATAATGTACAGATATTAATTATTGAAAATAGCATTTTTTTGTAGAGAAAAATGTGTTGTTAGAAGATTGTTTTAAACAATACACGAATAATTAATTATTTATTAATCCTTCGAATATTTTAATAACTTAGTGGATGAATTAAATGTATATAAAACACTATCTTACACAGAATTAATGAACTAAAATTTAATTTCCATTTTAATGTCTGTTAAATTCCCCAATTACAGTACATTAAAATTCTCCACTGATTAACATTTCCACGTATTATTAACGGCTACCGCAATCACTTGTACAAGTACAAAGTATACAAGGTGAAGTGTCACCATTCCTAATTTCGCAACAACACTCGTAAAAGCGGAAAATATTACGGAGGCAGAATATCCGTTCGATGTTCCCAATATCGCGCGCATCGATCGGTTTCCTTGGACAACATTTATCTGTCTCTGCGCGGCATTGCCTTTCTCATGCTCATTATTCTCCGTTCGCTCATGGTTTCTAAGAATTTTTGTGATCCTCAATAGCAATTTGTTCCCTCGCCGTTCCTCGAATTGCAACGTGTCACCTCATCATGTTATCGCGTCACCCTCGCGGATCTCTACTCGTGTTTTCCATGAATTTTCAGTTTTTCACTATGCAGATTTCGGAACAATGAATGAATCATCTATCTCGCGGATGACTCTAAATGCCAAACGTGCACATGAAAAGTTATACTATGATTATTCTTCTTAAATTTTGGAGTTTTCAGTGCCATAAAAAATTAAAAAAACGTTTTTAAAACAAAAAGAGAATAAAAAAATAATTGTCAGCGACATTTCACTTCGCGAAACTTGCGGCGAGACGTGGCTGTTATTAGTCGCGTAGGTAAAGGAAATTTAAATTAAAATATCCAAGATTGAATAAAAATTTTATAAAATATCACAACTGAAAATTTCAGGATTAGAAGAATGGCAGCATAAAGATTTTTATGATGTATCGCTCTGTTGGCGTTACGTCGTTTTTATCGCGCAAGTAGAGAAGTATTCGTGACCTTGTAAGATTGCCTTATAAAACGTAACAGTTCAGAATTAAAAGAAAAATTGGCCTAAAGAAATTTTCTCTGAGAGATAAGATTCAGGACGAGACCATGGGCTAATTTTTTAAATACAAGTTTAGGCACCGACATAACATTCATATAACATATCTCTGATTTTTATTGCGAAGGACATATGAAAAGTGGGATTTGCGTTACCGCTTACCATAACTTTACATTGTCTTCACCCACTTATCCGCATTCATAAATTGTAACCTCTGCATTTATTGCGGTCGGAATCGGTTATATTACAGTCGCATTATTGAAATTCAATCGCGGTAGGTACTTAAGGGCTGATTACACAGGGGGAGAACTCGTGTAAGAAGGTACCCTCGTTATCGCGCTTATTATGAGCATAAATCAGGCGTAATGGATATCGAAGATGTCTATTATCTTCGGCATTACTGCCGTACCGAGGCGTATGCATAAGTAGCCACATTGCACCCACATCTCCTATGCGCCGAAACTTCCTTCTCGCCTTTCTTGTCAGGCACGCGCTCGACTCGCTTGCCTTTTCTCGCTATCTCGCCCCGCCGCGGTGACTTTGACGCGCCGAGCCGAGCCGAGCCGAGCGCATCGCAACGCATCGCATCGCATCGCGCGGCTCATTTCTTCTCTGTCGCTCAGTCGCATCGGCGCGGCGTATCTTCACCGACGATTTTGAGCCTCGAGTGCCGCTCCGCGTGCAAAGCCCTCCCTCTCTTTCTCTCTCGCTGCCTTCTTCTCTCTCTTTCGCACGATCGCTCGCTCGCTCTCATATTCTCGCTCTCGCTCGTAGCGGTGGCCAACGCGGCGGCACCTCTCGCTTTCACTCGCCGCGTGGTTGTGCAAAGAGGAGGCTATCACGGTGCCCGTGACGGAACTCTCAGTATCCGCCGGAGAGTCGTTGAAGATACGTGTTTCGTCTCGATATTATTCCCGCGATCAGTGTAACATCCGAGAAAAAGAAAGAGAGAAAGAGAAGGGGAGAGAAAGAGAAAGAAAGAAAGGGAGAGGAGAGAGAAAAAAATAAGAGCCTGTGTGAGCGAACGGGAGAATTTTCGCCGAATTAAATCTTCGTGCCGCGCCGCGCCGAAAGCGACAGCGAGAAACGTGCGGGACCGCGGCGTGCGCGGGAAAAGGCACGCGATAGTAAGAGCGAAGACACAGACGAGAGCGGGGTCGAAAGGGTGACAGAAATGGTGACAGTCGGCTGGCTCAGGTAAGGGCTCGGATCAATCATTTGAATTATTCATGTGAATCAATGAAAAACGTAGGTGCTTCTGGTTTCTCGCATTTGTAATCAATTATTCAAAAGAGAAATTAAGTTGTCGTGATTGAACGATAATTGCGAGGTTTCTTCTTCGGCTGAAGAAAAAAAGCATTAAAGAAAATTGTTCTTTCACCGGAAGAGCGTGGAGTTCAAGGGTTCATCGATAGGCGTTACGTGGGAGATGATTAGTATGAGTTAACGCTTGTCACGATGATAGCCTAAGCGTTCCGCAAAACGTGTAAAAGTAACTTTCTAATAGTCAAACGGTACTTCATCATGTATTTGTTGAATTAGGGGATCTCAGTTAAACTTCGGCAAATAATCTTCTCCGATCTTAACTTCTTATCCAATTGAACGCGCTTCGCGATGTATCGTGAAGTAATTCGCAACTAGATCTGAGAAAAACTCGCGTGGTATGCAGCGTAACTGAAATAAATTTACATAAATTTCTTCGGTTCGCGCGTTACGTTGAAAAAAAACGAACCAGTGCACATGAGGAGCAAATGACAGATGGGTACCCGCATGCGTATACAAGATTGCTCAAACGCGCGGCGCAAAGTGATAATTTCATTTCATAATTTCTGATAAATGTTCATCGCCGTACGTCTGTTTTAACATCCTACATTTTTTATTACATAACCAGAAAGCCTCTATAGCTTATTAATCCGAGATTCTTCTCCAATTGCTTCCGGTTAAGTCCATTTACGTTCAACGTACGGCCGCATGCCGCGATCGCTCGATTAATCTATGATAAACAGTGAAGTCATAACGCGTTTTCCGTCTTACTGATGAGGAAACGACGCTCGATTGCTCATCGCGAATTATTCCGAGAGAATCGACATTTCTTCATTATGTAACTCACACCGGAACGCTCTTATTCTATTTATTTACCTTGTTCTATATGCATATGTCGATCGATATTTCGTTTCTCTGTTATTTTTATTATTAATGCTGTCATCAATTTTTTATATTAGAGAACAATTAAAAAATATAAAAATTTCATACTTGATATTCCGCTAATTATGGCAATGAAAATGGGTCAATAGGGCTCGGAGAACTACGTTCGAATGTAGACCAAAGATCCAAGTAGTGCAGGTCTCTAATTAATCAGACGCGTTTATATGCGTCGTCAAACGTTATCTCGTGCATAGAGATGTGATTCTGTCTAAAACAATTTTAGGATTTCTATAACTTTTAATATCTGAGATATCAAGAAAATTAAAATTTATAAGAATTTAAAAAGTGAACCGGGATTTAAGCCAGAGTGAACAAAGTTTAAAGAATAGAATTTAAAGATATCTAATTAATTGCAAAAGTTTCAAAATCCACATAATTATAATTTTATTTCAATGAGATAACAGTTTTGACATTCTGAGAAATCTCAGAATTTCCAAGGACAGAGAAACCTGAAAGTCCTAAAACTTTAAATTTAAATAGTTTGTAGAAAAAACAGCGATATAAAAACATCATAAATTAAGAATTAATAGAGATATTCAAGAATCCTTGAATTCCAGAATTAAATGCAATGCGTTAGATAATTTAATGCGATACGCAGGTATGCAGAATTTATTTTTTTTAGGCCAATCGAGTCCTGTGTTGTTTCCAAGTATACGATATGTCATGGTAGTTCTAATAATACTTGGATATAAATCAAAGATTAACTTACACATTTCTGAAAATTATAGAGTGGTTACAATATAAGAGAGAATTAGCTTACATTAGACTAATAGCGGTATGTATTCGTCCGTGTGTACGTCGGATAAAATTATAGTAACATGTCTCTCTTGTGCAATATATCTTTTTTATCAGTACTCATAAATACATAGTGTACAACAAAGGGAAATCATTGAGATTCGACGCAATCAAGTAAAAACTATCGTTAATATTTTTACGTCGCGGTGTCATGCAATACCGCCGTAAAATGGGGTTAGCAGTACCAATAATTCTACATTAAGTGAGAAAATTTTCGATCATTCAATGCCGAGAGAATTAATCAATGGGTAACGAGAATTTCATAAATACAAATAATGGACTTTAGAAATTTATCTTCTCGGATATCTTTATGTTCTGCAGAGCAAGCTTATTCTTGTTAACTTAATCTAAATCTCTGTTTCCAGATATATATCACGATCGGCATTGTATTACAATTTATTAATATACATATATTTAATAGAAGGAAATATTAATTCCCTTTTGCGAAATGTAACAACTGTTACAACAAATTAATTAACATTACTTAATGTTGATTTGTATTAAATATCGCGATGTGGCGAACCATAAAGTCGAGCATAATTAAACCGGATAAGTTATGGCCTGGCGGTAAATCTTTCAGCCGTGTAATTGTAGAATCGACGCTTTTACGCTTCGCTAGCAAACATGCGATACTACTCCCCTCGTCGTCGAAGAGGCAAACAAAATGTTTTGGAAAAAGAAAAGACAAGAATGCCATTACGTTTTTCTGACCGTAATTGAAAGAGGCTTGAATGTCTCAATATCTTATTTTGCATTTTTCGTTTATACTTTCTCTTGATTGCTCTTAAGTACTGCTATTTAGGGGATATATTTTACATGATAGATTATTTACGTGATATTTTATAATTGCTTCACTTTAGAGAATAACTTTGTAACTTCCTCTTTTAAAATAATATATATGTTTAAATGCGTCGATGTAATAAGACGAAATAAAAAAATGCCTAAAACAAAATAGTAAAATCAGATAAAACTTTTCTTAAAAGAAAGATTATTTTATGATACCACATAATTTGTCAATCTTTAAGTCTTTTGGTAGAAAGTTTTTTTTTTACTTGATCGCTTTTATTTAATCATAGACGATTGTGTACATGTGTGTGCGAGATGCGTGTATTATTACAGATAGAAAGTTACAGCTGAGGTCGCTATTATTGTTGTTCTTATTGTGACTGCGGCGAAAACATAATCGTTATTTCCAAGCGGAATTTCATGTGGTAACTAGTAACGACATTTTATTGCATAAATTGCGTTATAAGTATTATATTTGCTACAAAGTTCCATTCGTTGCGGTCTACCCTGACGGAGAATCTCTTTTGCTACATCGCTAAAATAAATCACGTGCGTTCGCCTCTCCTCTGTCAGCTTAAAATTCAGAAAAGATATGTCAAGCATGCGTATGTCAACGTGCATTAATGTTTTCTCCTACTAGTAGCAAAAGTATCGTACCAAGAGAATAGTGAGTCGTACATATTTTGCGTTAGAAGGGGAAGGAGAAAGCATCATGGAAATTATGAAACTAGCTAACCCTTTATGCTGGCGACTTTTACTTAAAATATATCAAATATATTAATACTATATTAATGTATTTTTTAAATATTTGTCAAATATATGTATTAATAATATTTAAATATAATATATTAAAAAGATATTTTAAATTAATATTACCGCACAAAAAATAATTAATTATTTGGTTGTCAAAACGAAAAAAATGTATGTTGAAAAGTCCAAAATTTTTATAATCACGTAATATATTATAAATCAAATTTTTACATACATATATATATATTTTTTTTTATTCAATATGTAGTACAAAAATTTATAAATTTTATTTTTCTATACGTTTAAAAAAGATATAAAATTATAGTAATTATTTATAAATTTTGTTTACGTTCATATTTTGTATTGTTATTTTTGTTTTTTAATTATTATAATATTTATAGCACGTGACACTTTGCACTGTTAAGAGACAATATTGTATTGTTCTTACATTTTTATACAAACAATCATCATTTTTATGCAAACAGCGTCGTGCGAATCATGCACTTTCTCTCTCTTTTGAGGCTACCGGCAATGAGTTCTCTCCGGCGCATTATAATCTTGCCCATGTCTTGATATAGGATAAATCTCGCGTAATAAGAAACGTTATGCAGAAAGTGAGGAACATTGTCCACTCGCAGTGCCGCTGCTTGAAACATCCGTTTTCTCACCGCCGGATGTGATCGATACGCTATCGCGCTATAATATTCAGGAACGCGTTTATATAAATAAAACGACGTCCCAGAATGTTTCCTTCATTATTTTTCTTCCTTATATCGAATCACGTAATAAAAAAAACAATATTTAAAAAAAACAGGCAATTGTTTTTTCACGCGAAATAATTCTTTTTACGAGCACTCTGATTATCCCTTAAGAATTGGACATCGTTACATCATCTTTAATGCCAACGTAAATTTTTCATTTATTATTCTATACATTATTCGATCTTCGAACTGAAAGTTTTATTCGTCTACGATTCAACTGCAATACAGTCATCTATTTAGTCAGCAAAAATTCGCGAGAAAGAGCGGTAACGTTCAATGGCGTTCGTCTTTTCTTGCGCCGCGGCTATTTGACGTGCAAAAGATGCAATCGTAATAATCACCTTCTCGTCTCGGGCCTCGGTCGCGATGCAAGCTGCGTTTACGCAATCATAGACACCTACGAAGTTCTCGATCAATTGACGAGACGTGCAAGCGCTGCACGCGCGCGCTCGCGCTCGCGAGTAGCTACTTTCTAAAACACGAGGAAGAGTCGGCGCGGCGGCGGTAGCGAGAGAGCACACGAGATTCACTTTTCAATAACAGAGTATCTTTATTTTATAGAAAGTAAAGCGTTCTCTCCCCCTGCACCTGAATATTGTTACAAACCAGCGGTTTTATCACCGGCCCTCGCATTCCGCGCATGCATATCGCGCGATCGCGGATCCCCACGGATCGGTGATTCAGCATCTTGCCTCCGTTCGTTTATAAATCGCATCCTCGTGGAATGAAAGTCCACTCGATATGCGAATTTCGAAAGTTTCTCCCTTGCTCCTGTATCGAGCTTTGTAATGAGCATGTCATATGTTCCTGCAGCCCCGTAAGGCGCGGACGTGTCTTATTAATTGCCGGATGAGATATTGTTTGTGTGCCGCTCATAAGGCAGAAAACCATGAGCGGTCG